ATTAAAATATATATAAACGGGCTTAAGGCCTAAGCCTATAAATCAATGTTGACGTCTGTACATAAACGATAAAGTCTGTAAATCAACGGTGAAGTCTGTAAATGAACGATGAAGCCAGCCTGGAAATCAATAATGATGCTTGTAAATCCAAAATGACGCCTGTAAATCAACATTGAACCATTTTATATCAGATATGATGCTTTTAAATCGAAAATTAAGCTTGTATATCGAAAATATAGGTAGTAAATCAAACATAAAGCTTGTAAATCCGAAATTAAGCTTGAAATTTGAAAATGAAGCTTATAATTAAAAAATGAAACTTGTAAATCGAAAATGAAGCTTGTAAATCGACAATGAAGCTAGTAAATCGAAAATGAAGCTTGAAAATCAGATATGTAGCGTTTAGATCAAATATTAAGCTTCTAACTCAAAGATGACGTTTAGAAACAGCAATGAAGCTAGACAGCGCGTTCTCTGCATATTGACAGCGCGTTCTCTGAGAGCCAGCGTGAGAGCAGATGTTGGAGATCTCAGCAATAATTAGGCAATAAATCTAATTGAAATTAGTCTATCTGTGCATTGCGTTCTGAAAGAACTCACTTTCAGTTAAAGATAACTTTGAAATGAACCTTCTAAGTTCGTTCAAAGGCAGCGAATCTCTGAAGTTCAAAAAATTTCGCTGCCAGCTACGGAATTTGATAAAGAAGTATTCTGAAAAAGTAAAAAATAATTGAACTGCATTTGATGCACGTTCGATGCCCCATGCATGTGAGGTTGAAGCTTTCGCCTCCTGGGTTCATTTTTGTTTACTTATACATTCACAGAGCTTATGCGTGTAGTATCATTTTCATGACAACTAAATTACTGAACTGCTTATAATGGTGAAAAGAATTAGGAAAATAATATAAATTTGTTATTGGCGAAAGTGCACCGAATAAAGATGTAAATTCGCAATGAATTTATCGAGGAAACTAAAAGGACATTGAAATTGATTTTTCTAACGAGATTCTGCGTTAATAATTTAACAATTCGGGCCCGAATATACAATATTGTCTGCTACAAGTCAGCCCCGAATATACTATATTGTCTGCTGCAAGTCAGGCCCGAATATACAATATTGTCTGCTACAAGTCAGGCCCGAATATACTATATTGTCTGCTGCAAGTCAGGCCCGAATATACTATATTGTCTGCTGCAAGTCAGGCCCGAATATACTATATTGTCTGCTACAAGTCAGGCCCGAATATACTATATTGTCTGCTACAAGTCAGGCCCGAATATACTATATTGTCTGCTGCAAGTCAGGTCTGAATATACTATATTGTCTTCTGCAAGTCAGGCCCGAATATACTATATTGTCTGCTACAAGTCAGGCCCGAATATACTATATTGTCTGCTGCAAGTCAGGTCTGAATATACAATATTGTCTGCTGCAAGTCAGGCCCGAATATACTATATTGTCTGCTACATTACAGAATATAGGACTTCAATAAAATATAGAGTAGTTCGGGGTATAAATTGATCAAGATTTGCGCTTCAATATAACTAGACTGTTAATTTGTCGCTCCAGGTTCTCAGCAACAGCTCCTCTCTTCCCTAGAGCATTCGAACTATCCATGCAGGTGCCTATACGCAGCAGCAACTACTGTAGCATTAACAAAAATTAAACACAACTTGCATTTTCCTAAATCTTGATTCATCGCTTATATTTTGACTCAATAAATGTTTGCTTTCGTTTGGCTGAGGCGAAACGTAGCCATGGAACTAAAACTCAGGTTAATTAATACGTGGTCCTAGAACTAAGCGAGACAGCGGCAGAGAAGTGTTAATATGGTGTAAAGTTCCGCGTTACTCTCTTTCTGTCGTTTCGGGTAGCCTTTCAAGGCGAAATTGTGTGTCTATCACATTTCTTCGTGTCAGTATTTTGCTTGGGTACGCAGCCGCGCACCACCAAATTTGTGCATCATTCAGCCATGAAAGGAACGCCTAGCATATTTCCGGATGACCACCAATCAGCCGCGGATTAAGCCATCCGTCGGTAACCAGCCCGTGACATCATCTTGCTTTAAATATTAGGAGCTTTACGCCACCACATTTTGAAGCGAATAGCCCAGAGAGTAATGGTTTTGCACCACTGAACGGTGCATCGAATCATCACTTCATATCCTGAATTTAGCTCGAACTGTAACTTGCGGACAACGGACTGTGACCAACCAGCCCAGGTCGTCAGTGGAACTGCGTGCATCCTGCTGTGCACCACCAGACCGTCACTTTGAGCTCACAGCATTGGGGGTTAGGTTTCAGAAAGCATAGTTCTGTTCCAAAATCTATCGTCCTTCGACGAGCGACTTCTACAGCTTCCCTAAATTACGTAACTTTTAGCTCGCAGCATCTGGGGTTAGGTTCCAGATAGCATAGTTATGTTCCAAAATTTATCGTCGTACGACGCGTGGCCGTCCGACCGTAGGCTGATTGGGCACACGGGACAGATACGGACGGCTCCGGCGCGCTCCATCCGGGTGGTGTAAATTTTTTTCGCATATTGGCAGACGACACTGGGCCATATGACGTCAGGCTTATTTTCCTGTGGGCTGATTGGTCTAATTCAAAGGATGTTATCTGTCTGGTGGCGTGCGGCTAATAATGTTACAGTCAAGAAGTGTTGTAGGCTATGTTCTTCAGGGAAGGGATCATGATAGTCCATTCGAAGCAGGGCAGTGGTGGTCTCCGACAGGCATCCCTTTTGCTTCACGTGCTATGAAGTCTATGTTTAACTTGAAGCCCTGGCTGACTACGGTCGAGGTACGATCACAGTGTCAGTTTTAATTAGCTGCGGTGCATTTGACTTAGACTAGAATAGAAGTGTCGGCATTGAAGAAATAGGCCCATAGCCTGTTGCCGATTCTTGTACTTTTAGTGACTTGATTCACAAAGGATCCGGCCTTTGGAACCCGATCTTCCCATAACTCCGTGACTTATGTCTAAAGTCACCGCTACGTCTACGTGTGGGTCATTATGTCCTAATATCCGACGTCTGCGTTGTTTCCTGCGACGGTAACAACGCCGTGCCAGCATTAATCCACGTGATTTTTGGCCTCCTCGCAGACACGACGTCCTGCCCTTGTAGACGCCCTGCCTTATCCGCTGAAGAAACGCGCGGCCAATTAACACGCCGGTTAAATTACGATATAATATATAAACGCAATATATATTATAGTGAATCTAGATCCTTATTCACTTTATGATTAGTTCAATTACCTGCATTTATCACCATAGATACTTTACGTTTGGCTCGGTTAGGAGCCTTTCTGGGCCGAAGCTTCACCGGTACAATTTTGGGTAATCGCTGTTGCCGCTCATCCTCAGGGGCTACGGGTCGGGCAAAAGCGGGCGCGTATTGCGGACCATATGAATCTTCTCTAGATGTTAGAAGTCACTTTAATGCAAGAGCGTTCTACTGAGCAGTTTTGCAAACCGTTCGAGCGGACTACATGTTTATTTAAATTTCGACTTTTTGCAAGTATTTAAATCTTGAAGTCAAAATTTTTTATATTGACTATCTTTTACATAAGACGAATATCCGCGCAAATCAACACGTGTTTTCCTTCGCCCAGAAAGCATCTTTGCTTAATCGACCCTCAAAAAAAGCACAAAAAAATCTGCAAAGATATATGCTAAGTCAGGGGAATACTAAACAAAAACCAAGCTGCCGCCAAAATGTATATTATATATACACGAATATACTACTCAATAACATAAGCAACATGTATCTGTTAGGCATTATTGATCTAGATTAATAACTTCAGTAAAAACAAAGATTCGGCATTAAAAAAAACATGAACGAACTGCACACGATTCACAACGTTGGCCTTGCGCTCCATTGAAGATTATTAGCAATGTACACAGTAAACTTGGCCATTCTGTCATTTTCCAAATTTCCTAAAGATATGGTAAATTTATTACAATTAGAGACCTATTGTAATGGTTTACAAATTTCATAAATATATAAGAAAATATGTTTAATAAGAAATTATACTCCTAAAGTAAGCGCGAGGTTTCCTCAACGATTTAATTCATATTAAGTAATATAATAGAGCCACGTCAGACTGGCAATGCATTAATTTCCATTTGCTGGAGTTTCGTTGTACGGCTCAGTCAGCAGCAACAAATTAAAACACATTCGAGTGGAAGAGGAAATTAAAAAAAATAGCGAGAAGTGAACACGGGTAAACAGGTTAATAAATTACGTAAACAGGTTAATAAACTACTAATAAACTATAATCGAAATAAAAAGTATAAATCAGTGGAATATATAGCACAGACAGCACACGTGGAGGAGGAGAGAATCGCCGTGGCGAAGGTTAACTAATCTCTTGTTGACGCGTTTAGATACCGGTACATCACTTCTCATCTATGTGCCGACAATTAATTATGAAAAATATCATAGCATAGAATGCAATAATTACAAGGTACGCGCTCCTCAAGATGGGGTTGTGTTAGCAAATCGCTCCAGCCATCTTGAGTTTGAAGTGTCAGTCAAAACTACCGTTATTTCTCACAACATTCAATTGCCAAACTCCTTCTAAAGGCTCATAAAAAGGACGTCTAAAATAAAATGTAAAAACTTCTTACGCTAAATCATAATGTATATTTTCTAATGGAATATAAAATTCTCTTGCGGATACTATACTCAGAAGAATGATTTTGACTTTGTTCCAAAATCGATGCATATTTTGCGCTTGTACGGATCGTTCGGACCTTTTACGGCCCGGCTAATGGGCGCATCAATGCTATCTCAGAATGTAGTCACTATTTGGACAATAAGACACATTAATTTCAACGAGTATAGAGTGGGACAATCAGGGAGAATATGATCGCGGCACAGGCCCTCATTTGGCGCTTAGGGCGCTAACGCTGGGGCGAGGGCGCTAACACTGGGGCGAGGGCGCTAACACTGGGGCGAGGGCGCTAACACTGGGGCGAGGGCGCTAACACTGGGGCTACTGGGGCGGGGGCGCTATGTATAGGAGCTGCAGGTCCATGACGTTGGTGGACGTGTGGCCAGGCTGGATGAGGTATTTACCGCCCCCCAGACGACAGAAGAAGTTGTGCGAGTCGTTGTTGCTCAAGAAGGCTTCAGGGTTTAGTCCGGCTGCGAGGCTTTCTCGGTATGAGCATCTGCGCGAGATTAATACTTGTAAATACTGGGAGTGTGATAATGAAGGAGCATAGCGCGTCTGTTGAAGGCTCTACAAGCTCCACTACTTATTAAAAATATTATCCAACATTGTTCTTCCTGCTCTTCAACACAGCTTGCATACGTGTCACTTCAAGCATTTATTACACAATTGCATAAATGTTACAAGCAATAAACTCTCAGAGACATGAAGTATTTCAAACACTACAAACACTAGAGACGTCAAATGCATTCAAATACAACCACATTCCCCTTACAACGTTACAACTGAGGCACAAGTCCCGTCAGAAACTCTTCGTGCAAAAACACAAGAATAATTTACCCTCCGGGTTGACTGTCCTCATTTTACCTGCATTACATAACTCATACACAAGTAAGACCTGCCAACACATTTAAATACACGCACATCATACTAATTGAAACAAGCCTTACCAAAAATAGTAATTATTACTTTAAAAAAATATGGCCCAGACAACAGGTTTAGTACCACACATGAACGGTGCAAGTAAACCTCAAAGGTACGAGAAATGCAGTCAACAAAGACGTGGCGTTACTCACTCCTGTGGAGTCCAGTAGGTACCCGCGCCTGCCGCATCTGTTGGGCCATCGATGCCATCTGTGCCAGCTGACACAAATGCCACATGGCCTGATAGTTGTTCATCGTGCAGCACCTGCAATACATCAACATAAATTAAGATCATTATATTAATCACATTACGAAATAATCAAGAACTTAATAACTGAAAAATTATTAGGCTAAGTCACCACATTTTCATTGTAAGTTTCGAACGCGAAGTCCATAGACGATTAGAAATTCAGGATATATAATTAAAGCTTCTAAGTGATGATCAATTGATCATGTCATTGGTTTAAACCGAAACTCTTAAAACCTCTTGTGGAAACATCAGTTTTGAGCCTTTTTGTTTACGCCTAAAAATTTAACAAACAAATTTATGGTTTTGAAATGAAGCTTATTAGCTTTGCAACTGCGGATACATTGAGGCGTTTCGGTGAGGTTTCTTGGCTCTCTGTCCCCTCGATTTCTTTTATAATAGACAATTATTGGATGAAAAGTTTTTATTTTTAGGCCTCTTCAACATGCTGGCCAAACTTATGAAAGAATCTATTGAAATCAGCATTAAAAAATAAAAATAATGAAAGCAATGCAAAAAAATTAAATTCCCGTGCTATGTTCCGAAATCACAACAATAACTTATATATAAAATATCCTTCGAGTTCAGGAGAAAAATGTCCCACGTCCGGGCTTGTATAGTAGGGATTATAATTTACATTCTTCTGTGATCGTTAAAATTCGTTCAACACGATTCATTTGAGCTGGTGCATATTACGGTAAAGTATTTATAGTTATTTTACGCCGGTGATGACGATTGTCACCTGAAGGTTACCGGAATCTTTCTAAATAATCCTGTGAAATTTTAGGACTCTTATTTCTTCAATTTCAAATAGGTCGGGAAATTAGTTTTAGACTTGAGGTGCCTTACAACAAAATAATTGAGGCACCATGTTCCATTATGTTACGGCGCTGTCACCTTCTTTCCTTCAGACACATGAAATTTAATAAACAATGGACACCGACCGAGCTGCCAAGAGCTACCAGTATTTCAGATCTCAGAACAATTTGCAATCATGATACACATTTATTCGTACAGAACCCAATGTTACGACAAACGAATGTTTACAATATCTAAATGACGACCACGATCTCTAAAATACATCATGGATCCCGAGGTTCGGAAACTTGCAATGATGAGGACATTACAGACAACGTGGATAATTGGACATTTTTCTCATCTTTCGCACAAAGCAGCTGATCGATATCAGCTTTTATTGCTGGAGTGAGCGGCTGTGACGAACCTATAGGGTGAACTAATCAAATGATAAATACACGTAACCATCAGATCATAAAAAAAGGCTTTGCAGACACCAGTATTTTACGCATTTTCCTATACAAATTTTAACTTTTCATTTTAACCACTGGACTCGGCTGTAAATTTTCAAGGTTCTTACTTATATCGTTATACCTAATACTGGCGTACAATCCTACAAATGGGCGTATTAACCCCTTCGAAAGTCGACCGAAACGAAACCGAACGTAAAGATGACCGATTTGGTCAACTTTTGCACGCGACCACTGCAGGGTTATATTAGGCTTGGGTGAATAGAGATGATAACAATATCGGTGAGTTAAGGACGATTTTCTACCTACTTGGCACTCACATGCGACCGTAATGATATATGAACGCGTGATATACCGAGTATGGCCATTGCAGTTCGACGGAGTGACAAATGTCGAAAATGGTATTATTTGTTAAAATGGGGCAACATTTCGCAAATCAATGAGCAAATGGAATTACAATGAACAAATGGAATTATAATTTGTAAGATGAAATTTAAGGCAATACAATTTTAAAAATTAATGAACGTCGAAGCAACATGGAGTTCACAGCACAAGGAACCATACACAATCACAATCACAGCAACCATACAGCTTGGTTTTAGTAGTCAAGCAGCCTGATCATCATCATCCATCAACAACCCAACAGCCCCAACATCAATGATGTGTTGAGTCAATGATACATCATCGTGAACAATTGACATCTTTGGCCCCGAATTATGGCTCGAGAGCGCATCAAAAACAAATATAAATTGTCACATGAATAATTGAATGTCGTACGAATCGTTCGTCACTAACTATTCGAATGGCATTAAAGATATCTTACTCCCAAGCTTAAAGTTCGGAGTGAGATAGTAGCACCATAATATTCATCTTAACCGCAGTGTTTATCAAAGAATGCAGGTCGATTAAGTTTTACTGGACGTGGGATGAAACATCCTGGAACCAGATGTAGACACCGACATTTAATAATAAATTTTCCATGACATGGTGGAATACAGAATTGACCATCCACGATTTCGGTTATCCAGAGACAACATATTTTGCCAAAACGGAGAAAGGTAAACATACATATCTCATAAAATTTTCCACACTTGAGAGCTATTAAATACAAGAGGCAGATTCTGTGGACAAACATAACGATCCATTAATCTTTGCAAGCAAATATTGATAAACTCACTTTATGTAGATGAATCATCATTGCGAGCACCATTTCTTGGTTGCGTCCGCCGATCCCAGTGCCCACGACTCTCACAGTTGTTTCTCCTCCGAAAAGCAAGCAGCAAGGTTTCCTAGCAACAATGCTGCTGCCAATGTCGGAAATTAATTGGTCAGCGTCACTCACGAATAGAGAACTTATTAGTTGCGCAAAGGAAATGCCCTGGAAGTCAAAGCGCTTTTCCACCGACATTTTTTCCTCGTCAAACTCAGGAGTTGAAATTAAGTTTTCCCGTGCGCACTTGTCGTATCCCTTAAGGATAAGGTGGCAAAGCATTGCCATGGTCTCAGCTACGGAAGAAGCCTCACCTCGCAAGGAGGAAGAAACTACCACCGTGCAACATTCTTCACCCAAAGACGTTTGAATACTCTTCCGAGCAGCGTCCAAAGCAACGTTATTGTCACCCATTAGGAAATTAGAAACATGACCGAAATCATCCGTACACGAAGGTTTATAGTCACTAAGGGCTTGCATGACTGATGGCGGCATTTGAATATCATACTTGCTGAAAATTTTTGTTAAGTCTTCCCTAGTATCTTCGTTCGGTACAGTAGGGCCACTTGCAATGATGCCCAAAGGGCTATTGATGACATCAGACAGGATCAATGTAATTATTCGAGCTCTGGTTTTGAGTGCTAAATTTCCACCTTTGACCTCAGAGAGCAATTTACGAACAGTGTTCAATTCTGTGATATCTGCTCCAGCGCGGTTTAATGTTTGAATAATATTTTGTTTCTCTTCTAATGTAACGGGAGGTTTAGGCAAGGTTAGCAGAGCAGAACCTCCTCCGGAAATAAGTGCAATTATGAGATCACTGCTTTTCAAGGCTTCCACAAGAGTAATTATTTCTCGAGTGGCTGTTAGGGCATGTTCATCAGGCATATTATTCTTGGCACCTTCATAAACACGTACTTTTGAAGATTTGTCGGGGAGTAGGTTACAGTCTTTGATTGTATTTTGTATGCCATAAGGAACACTGATAACTCCATCCAACAAATGAGATGAACCGTCAGCGTTGCGTAGAATATCTTCAACGGGTTTTACCATGTTGATAACAGCTTTTCCAAAACCAATGATATAGCAGTTGCTGTTTAATGGGTGCACTGTTTGGCCAACCTTTAAATTATTGCCAAGTCTCTTGACAAGTTTTGGAACCAATGCTTCAGGCAACACCGACGCAACTCCCGCCAAGTACGCATTTCGTAAAACAGTCAGAAGCGACGTGACGTCATTCATGGTTGATCGAGAAGATATGGATGATATGGATAAAAACTTCTGTACAATCACAGTAAAACATGGGATACTTCTGTAAAACATAGCTATAACGAAAAAAATCAAGTACAATTTCAATTGACAGCCTTAGTCTTAACACTAAAAACCGTGACAACTGAATACAAAATGGAAGTCAATCAAATGACTTATCAACAGGTATAAGCAGTGCTAATCAGAGGCAACATTAGACCTACAATCATTCCTATATAATTCAACGATCAACGTAACTCACGAAAATTGTCATTTAGATTGACATGCATTTAGTAAAGATGTACTGCTAATGAAAGAAACGAAGAAATCTGTAACTTTATTCAATTAGATCCTTTTAACTATATCAATGAGTTGGAGGATTAATGTTTCCATACCAATTGTATGTCTACTCTTTTCATTTGGCACAATTATATGCAATCTAACTTCGTCCCTTATTCAGCACAGGCTCATTAGTCATTCCATTTCTGTTGGTGCACATCTCAGTATCCAGTTAGTTCGCTCTGGTCGCAGTTAATGCGAGGCGATGTGGTTACAAACGCATCACATTCATACACCTTATTTGAACGCAATCGGCAGTATATCATACTTTATATGCGGCTATTGAAGACCTTGAACAGCCTATCAATAAAAAATATAACTCAGTACTCACTGCAGTGAGTGATAGAGAGCGCATTTTCTCGTCGACGAAAACTTGAGGTCACGGACAGACGGACGGACAGACAGACAGACGGACATGGCGAGCACAATAGTGCATTTTTTCCATAAATGAGAAGATGCGCTAAAAAGTAGATCGACTGGTCAGTGCGTTCGTGTTGTCTAGACTTGGCATTTGCAATTCCATATCAACTGGCTGGCCTAAAAAGTCCAGTGCAACCATACAGCTTGTTTTTTATTTAATCAACAACTATAAATATATGATGAAAGAAGGGACGGAAATTCACGGAAACACTATGAAAATGTCGGCAACAGGTCGATTGTTATAAAAAATGAGGGGAAAAAAGTGACTATGGATAGCGTATAAAAAAATCAGGCTGTGAGGCAGTTTGTTCCTTTAGGCGCAGATACTACAAGAGACTGAGCGAAAAAATCGAGACGGCATCATGTCAAATATAATGTGTAGCCGCACGCGACACGCTGGCCGAAAAACTTCCCAGTACACAGCGTGAGACGAATTGTTTATTGACTGATGAACTTAGTTTTCAACACACAACGTGAGACGGCTCGATTCGTGAGTATTGGGCTTTCCAACACAGCGTGAGACGGCTCGATTCATGACTATTGGGCTTTCCAACATAGCAGGAGACGGCTCGATTCATGACTATTGGGCTTTCCAACATAGCAGGAGACGGCTCGATTCATGACTATTGGGCTTTCCAACACAGCGTGAGACGGCTTGATTCGTGACTATTGGGCTTTCCAACACAGCGTGAGACGGCTCCATTCGTGACTATTGGGCTTTCCAACACAGCGTGAGACAACTCCCTTCACGAACAACGGACTTTCCAACAAAAGAGACAACTCGCTTCGTGAGTAGACGGGATTTTCCAACACAGATGGGAAATGGGATTTGGAAATCCCATTGGGATTTACCAACACAGAGCGTGAGACGAATTGCTCAGCGAATAATAGCTTCCCAACCAATATATAGGTACACAAATTCAAGTGCAAGACTGAAAATTTTTGGGATCAGAAAATATTTAGATTACATGCGCATCTGGGAAGCAAGGACCTGCTGCTGTAAAAACATTACTTCCGTCATGGTTTACAAGTAGTCAGCATCATTCAACAACACGTGATTTTGAAATGCGTTATTCCGACCCTGAGAACGGCCATGCTAGTGAGGGCATGATGTGGAACTTCATACATAGCAGAAAAAAACGGGACCAAGTGACAGCCGAGTTCAGCACGCGAACAAGACATTGATTTTTTTGTGATGCATGCAAGCTAATACTCATCATTAGCAACATATTTAATGCATTTCCCAGTTGAGGTGACTGATCTTCAATTGCATTGCATTTCAAGTGTCTGAAGCTCATTTCTTATTTATTCCAAAATTCAGTCCTTTTTTGAGAAATGGCACCAATAGGCCAGTGTGCAGTGGAATTGGACCTAAGTGGCTTTTTAACCTTGAAGTCACATATATACTTCATGCATTTTTAACCATTACATCAATACTTTCTATACTTTATGGCTTGTAAAAAGTTTTAGAAATCACTTTTACAAAAGTATCTTTTGATTCAAGCATTAATTTTTTTACTCAAGTATTGAATTTGTATACTTATAGAGTATGCACCAGCAAGAATATATACCTACCAAAGGGTTCCACATTAATTATCTAAATTTATCTTTAATTACCTTCAAGTGCACATACTAGTCATGTAGTGAAGGAAAGGTTTACTAACACATTAGAGTAAGGCAGTATAAGCCTTGCTTTAATAAGCTTACCCAACTCCCTACTGTAAATTATAAAATCTGCAACAATCACCTGCAATGCTATGGTTGATGAAATTTCACTCTGATATCAGTGCTCAATTGCCTTCGAATGTCAGAAGAATAGGGTTCTTATGGCTGTTTTTAGTTTAAACTTAGAAATTTTGAGAACACCCTTTGATAAAGGAATCTCTGGCTCATAAATAGTTCTTACAGCTCAAAAAAGTGAACACATGGCGCCAAAATTTTTAGTCGGCTGCAGAATTAAGAAACTCACACTTTCATAAAATCTTGGGCTTTAAAATAAGATATTTTTTGCCTCTAAAGCCTGCCATTTGTAATTGTTCCTTATATTATCACTAATGAATCCCACACTCCAGATTAGCAATGAGCACGCTTCATTCCTATAAGTATGGCATCATCCATTAGAATATGGCACACCAGGCACAACATATATATATGATGCCAATTCACTGTCTCATAGATGCTTGGATATGCTTGCTGGCATAAGTGGCATTTACAGTGATCGCCATTAATTTCTCCACAGAATACATAACCAGTTTTAAATTATTAATATAGACCAACTGGCAAGTGGCAACTACAGGGCATGGTGCTTTACTATCAAGGTGATAAAGTGTAGCCCTATTGGGCATTGGGCAACAGAAAGATTAGGTATATATAGGTACTGTACTTATGATATCTTGCCAGCATCCCAGCTAAGCATCAGTTAAACTGTCCATACAAATTTTGTAATACCTATTAGTACCGAATGTGTCTACGTGACTATAATGTGAGTCTATTCCGTCTATACTATAGTCTATAAGTGATTTTAAACACCATGTCATTAAGAATTTAAGTTCATTTGTGTGCATTGTAAGAAAGAAAGGATACATGTCTTAATGCTATGAGAGTCATTGTGATTTTGGAAATGGAGACACATCCAAAGGTAAAAAAATGATGTAGTTAGCAACTTAGCAAATGAAAGTGCCACTTTAATATACTAAAAAACTAAAATATACCTATTGTATTTTATTCAAATATAATTTAACAGTCTAATTAATTTTATACTTCATTAATCTTCAACAAGTATTGGGAATGATAGTAATACAAAAGCTATCGAGATTTTACCGTATTATTTATTCAAGAGTTTACACTAAAAAATGATCATTGATAAGGAATTTGTTTGAAGAAGCTCAAGTATTGGTCTTAAGCATCAAGATGTGGACAAAGTTTTCATCAGCTGGTTAGGTCTTCCTCAGGTAAGTACAGATAAGGGGCAGCTGCAACGTCAGCACGGGCGTACGAGTCCGCACCATCCAAATGTTCTGTTTCGAAGAAACGGTAAAATCAATAATCGCCTAATAAATACAGAGAAAATATAGAATTTATAATGAATGCGGAAAATTTGAACATTAATTGGATTTAAACAATTTACCTTAAGTGATAAGTCCACTTAAGAGGCAATCTGCCATTATCAGCGAATTGTTGACTTTTGACGCGTGAAATAATGAGGTTAATAAAGCAAGATTAGCCCAAAGTTTAAGATTTTTCAAAGATTAGTATTAAACATGCAATTAGTAATTTAATTTGTAATTTGAAATTTGACTGGGCCAATCTTAACGAAGTGAATAGCATGCGTAAGAAAATAATTAAAGCAATAGAGGGAAAATTTGCACAAGAATACACGAAGGCGTCACCATCGTCTGTATCTTTCTAACCTAGCTATAAACGTCAAGATCACACAATATGCCTATTACTTTCTACAGAAAGAAACACGGAAACTTAATATAGACTTTTTTAATTTTAAAATTAAGATTTTAATTTATAATTTCCAATACAAGTGAAGAAATTTAAAAATGAATTATCTTCAAATCAATGAATGACACATCTGTTCAAGCAAGCATTAGTTGCAATTCAACTATAGCCTGTCAGACATAGTGGCAAAAAGTAAAATAAGAGAATATTTTTTGTTGCCCTTCCTCAAGCTCATTTCTTAGTCCTAGACCACACTCAGGATGATGTATGTTTTCGGTGAATTTTCCCACGCATTTTCACTTTTTTTAAGCTATTGCTGTGCACAGTTGGCGCAATATAATGAAAATTGATTATCTTTGCGCGTGTGTTTGCGTAATCCTGGCCATCTTTGTTTTAGAAGAAATTTTCTCCAAAGTAATATGGCAACACTGAACACCGTCTGTTTACATTTCGTATGTATAACAGCCGCAGTTTACGATTACCTACCGTACGTTCCGTATCCGACAAGGCGGACAACCGGAAGAGTCAGAAGTAACCCGGACATGTCTTACATTTTATTATTGTCAGTTCGACTCGCGTAGTCAATATACTCGCGTATATTCATAATAATAATATTGTAGACTAAAATAGTAGAACTATTTTAGCTTTCTAAAGTACGGCGCACGGCACATTTTTTACCAGCGTAGTACGGCGCACCGCGCAGCTTGTTAAAATGACAAAATAAATTCCCGCGCACCTGGCACATCTTCCTGACCATAGGTCCTAGAGGCTATAACTGACATAAACTGAGGCGGGTACTGAGCAAAGCAAGATTTTATTGAAATAGGCCTAACTGGCCAGTCTGGCCTATTGTTATTTAGCTTACTAGTAAGTATCTTTGATAAATTGATAGGTAGATACTACATACTAGATAGTAGATACCACTACCAGCATAAACTTGATAAAGCATTATCATACAGACACAGAAATTACAGAATAAATAAAATACATAAATTGATTATAGTATTGAGTAGATAAGGAAATTAAAAATGAATTGATTGTACAAAATATCTGGTTTGACAGTTGACACTATGCTGACTTTTGCTGAGTGTGAGAAACTGAGAACATATGATATATTTATAAATTATAGCACATAGTATTATAGCAATAGCAATCCTCTTTTCGCCATACTCATAGACTCATAGTCATAGTAAATTAATAATTAGTCATCGAATGACCGAAAAGAAATTTTTACAGAATTGATGCCATGCCAATGCCTCGTAATGTTTATCAGAATCAGAGCAAGTGATTGTTTACAGCCTTACAGTTACAGGTAAATAAAATTATAGTAGAGTAAAATCAGTAAATTAAAGCTGTATTCGTTATTATAAAGTTAACAGTATGAATTAGACCATTATGATAGGTAGTTAAAGTCTCAACGCATAGCACTCACTTTAGTCACTTAGCCTACTCAATTTACGCGCTGGAATACTGTT